CACGTACGTATAATATAAAGATAAATAATCTATTGAATTTAATCAATTTGATTTAAATCGATTATCAACATTAGCGATTATAATCATTTGTGTAACCGATTATATTCGGATTTTAAAATTGCCTTATCGTTATCGTTATGTAATACAATACGTATATACTTTTAAGGGAACGCATGCTTTTCACATGACTTTCAGCTACATAAACATGAAAAATATATGGTAAAGTAATAAAAACCTACGTTAGGGTTGCTTATCTTATACTAAAATTTTGCAGAGAATTTTTTTTGTTAGTGCGCAGTAGTGGGTTCCATAGAGAGTCGATTGTTAGAAAAGATCTAATTGGTGCATCTGCTCATCATTGTTTGTCGGAGTTTGTCCGCGAAAAGATTATAGTTTTAAAGTTATCGGGATTTCGTGATAAAGATTTTGTTGGTATAAATTTCATTATAGATGGTTATTTTTGCACATATCAGTTGTTTTGTGACAATTTAAAATTTAGAACTTCGATTAATTTCGATAAACCAATAAAATTTTTTCTAGATCACAGGATAATATACAAAAATTGGCCAATTAAAATGAAAGCCCGCTATGCTGAACTAAAATATATAATGATTATTTGGTAGAATCATTTAATTAGTAGATTGAACAGACATTTCGCTTGTAATGCAAATATATTACTTATCAGAATAATTGCAAAAAAACATCGAAAAAATAGTGTTGGATCAATATCAATAAAAATAATCAAATTCATCTAATTTAAGAACCAAGTCCTAATCGTACAATGATTCCGGTGATAACTTATGCAATATTGCGTAAAACTTATCATTTTTGCATTATAACCTTGATGGGATTAGTGATTTAAGCCGGCTAAGCCAGCCGAAATAATGCTAATGCGGCTAAAAATCACATGATTACAAATAGTAGAAATCCGATGTTTTGGTCGACTAAATCACTAAAGATAATTAAAGATGTGGTCATTTGTCAAGGATAGCTTGAATGTGTCATATGTCATGTTATCTTTGGATGTAATATTAATTTAGGGTTCTTTGTTTTCAAATTAAATTTTACAGATTTAGAAGTAAAGGTAATCTGCAAATAGTTTTCGATTCATCAACTATTAAAACAAATCTAAAGCAAAAATAACAAAGGGTATTTTTAGGCATCTCTCGTGGGAGACCGAATCTGTTAGCCAATACCTTGCTTATACCTTAAAGTTGTCATGACATAAATAAACTTTAGGGAATTTTGGGATATTTCTCCCACGAGAGATGCCTAGAATTTCCTTTTTACAGTAACGCATTTCATATCAAGTATTTAAGACATTCAATTTGCAAATACTTATCAGGATTTTTAATTGTCGGGATTTTTGTCTGTCGGGATTTCTTGTCAGGATTTGACCCGTCGGGATTTTGGATGGCACTCAAAGCAAAAACAAAAAGTTTGTGTTTAATATATAGTTTATATTAATCGCAACATTAATAAAATTAAATATTTATTTGAGATAAATATTAATTGAGTTGTATTTATTTATTATATTTAAATTAATCTCCTCCCCCGGCGCTGTGCTAAAAATTTTGACCAATTAACTTTGAATGTCTTAATACAAATTTAAAAAAATTAATTTAATTTTCTTATGTTTGTTATTACTGTTACACTACTATAAATCACTATATACATATAAAAATTTATTAAATAAATCATACTGAAAATTAGGGTTTAAAATTTGATTCTAAACCAAACTAGATTTATTTTAAGTTTGGAACTTATTGTATAACAAACTGGTTCTTGAATTTTTAATTTGAAACTTAAAAGATTTCAGAACCTAAATTAATTTCACCATTGGATATAAAAACCAGGCTTTTACGATATTTATTTTAGTCTTGCCTCCTATCAGGTGTTGAAATACATGCTGTTAACTTGAGTTCATAATTATAGTTACGTTTTTTTGAACCTGCATTTATAAAAGTCAACCGATTTTGGTTTTCAATTGGGTTGGTTACGGCATTTAACGTTTTTTGTACCCTGCTCTAAATTTTAGAAATAAATAACAGTTAAATTATTAAAAATATGTTATAACTTATAAATATTATAAATTTAACCTTTAAATTGAGGACCGAAGCTAGTATGGTTAAAATATTTGGAAATTTTTCGGGCCTGTCAGGGATTTCCATTAGTTCACTACGTTTGACTCTACAGACATATCCTTTTGGATTGTCTAGATAGAGCATCACCATCATCAACCCTGATATTAAAATATTATTTAATTGTTATAGATTGTTGCAAATTTAACACAGCTAATGCTAAAATCTGGATCTATTTTTTAAATTTTCTGTGAATGTTTTTTTATTTTGTTTGTTTTAAGGGTTTGGTTAGAATTTAGGGTCAGAATTAATAATTAAAAAGTATATATATGTGAATTTTAGTATGGTATATATTTTCAAATTGAGATCCCAAATTTTAGCATTAGCCGCGGTTAATTAGACATATGAATGAAAGACATACCCTCATGTACAATTCCTACTGTTTGGATTTGATTCCGTTTCTCTGAATTCCATTCCACCTTTTCTAATAATTTGACTATTATGTCTTTCAAACTTTTGGGAAGTTTGACACCTGACTCTCTTACAAACTTAGTTCCGTATTTGTCTTGCCAGCTTTTGCCGGCTTCTCCAGCCCCATATTCATCATTATCGCCATTCGAACGCAGAAACCAATCTCCTCTACTACCCATCTTACGGTTTTGACCTATATTTCGATTTTTGTTTTTCCTGATCGAACTCGCAATTCCTGAACTTTCACCTCTAGGATTGCAAAAGTATAAATAAAAATATTAAAGACTATTCAATAAAAAAAGAAAAAAATAACTAAGAGTGTTCTCAAGCACTTCAATTGGCCAAATTTTAATTAGTTAGACATTGGATAAATCCAACAAGTTACCATTTCGGTGTATAAAACCTAGAGATCAAACCATCTTTTTTTTCGCCAAGCTGCTCTTATTAACCAAAATTTTGAACTTGCATTTCGCATCAGAAATTAGAGTTTAGAACCAGTTTATTTATCATATATTAAAACCCAATAAAATCGGTTTAACATATAAAAAATAAAGCCGGTTCCAATGAACTTTTAACCAGTTGTGCTTCTGATTAACCACATTAAGCATCCATAATTTGGGCAGCATATCGATCATACTAATTGCATAAGGAAGCTGCTTAAGAACACCATAAATAAAAATCAAATTTACCTAACGACTGAAATGATATTTATATTACTGAATGCCTGATCAAATATGAAACTCCATATATGTGCATTGTACCATGCTTCTAGGTTATTATTATGTAACTTATCACTTTCCATTTCACGAACCCTATAAAATAATTATATGTAAGTTACATAAATTGAAAGCACAAACATTAAAGTTACATAGATTACTTACATTGCATGTAATGCAAATACAATGTAATCAATGTCGTGATCTGTCTTAAAGTTGTATTGATTATCGAAACTTATTTCCTTAATGATGCTTCTTATTTCTTTTAAATTGGTCTACCAAAGAATCTAAGTAAATTATTTACATTCGAAAAATAAACTATAGTAATATAAATAATATGTACTTTTCCGACAAATTTGCTTAGGCATTCGATTATTTTTTCGTCCAATTCAGGAATAAGGGGACCTGGCACGTGTTCAATTTCCAATATTTCTTCATAACTAAAGTGATTAAGTATGGTTTCGTCTTCGAGATCCAATATAAAAGAATGAGCGGCACTAAAAATATAAGCTTTAGGTTAAAATTACTTGTCACAAGAACCAAATTAAGGTGCGATATTTGTACTTACTGCTCGTATTCGAGCTTTTTTCCCAATTTGTACAGCTCCTCTTCGACGTAGTGACCTGTTGTCAATTTCCACATTTTATGCTTGGATATTTGTTTAAAATTATTTCTCGTTGTTTTTCTTGCAATAAGGTTTTCTTTACCTACAAATGTACAGAAAATTTTCACATGACGATAGTAACAATGGATTACGCCTTATCTGGTCGTCCCCGGCCCCGTGGCTATGCCGACGGACTGCAACTTGTACGAATCTTGTTCTTCATTTTTAATGGAAAATCCT